TAACCGCCATGAAGTACTCCTCAGGTCAGGAATTTTCGCGGCTTCAATCTCGTATGCTCAAAGTTGAGCAACAGCGAGGGAGGCTTACAGCAACACTGAGTAATCGATAGCGGCGCGCATCCCTAAAACGCCTCCAAGTGTTCGGGTCAATAGCATCGCTCTCCTCTCTGGTATTCAAAAACAGTCTGCAACCTTCCTTGGAGAGCAACTTTGTGAGGAACTCAACGATGGTAGGGTGCATGCGGGCGGTATCTCACACCAGCCTTCAGCCTCGTTACACCTTGCTCCCCATTGTGCAGAGAATCGACGAGTCCCTCTATATACATTTGACTCTGATGATGTGAGTCGTGAGCCGTCGTGGGGTGCTACTCACGTTCTCATCCTCATGCCTCTATGCATTCCTTGCGTTTACCGATGTTGGAGTCCGATCTATCGCAGATGGGCTTCATAAATCGACCCGAGGCCAAATCTATCCCGAGAAACTTCGCTTGGATAGGACTCGATTCGAAAGAAAATGGGATCGTAGCGTGGATGTATGATTAACCGACTCAGTCAGAGGTGCAAGTCGATTATTCTAATATCTCTCGAGCGCATAAAACTTTTCACGAGAGACAAGTCAAAAGTCGCTACCTTGGCGCCGTCGCATCGGTTTCTTGCAGCACGCTCAACGGGATTGGTTGCAGAAACGGCGGAGAGGAGTAAGCGCAACACATATCGAGAGCTCGAAGGCCGCTTCATCTTCCAGCCTGTGGCGATGGAAAGACTCGGGGCCTTCGGCCAAGAGACGGTCTCCTTCCTCAGAGTCCTCGGGAAGAGGATTGAGATGCTTTCTGGAGATAGGAGGGCCACGGAGTTCCTGGTCCAGGGGCTCTCCATTGAGATACAACGTGGTAACGCCGCGGTGGTTCAGGGCTCCCTGCCTTCGGACGATGGCCTCGTCGGGGTGGGCTGAAACCCCTTGAAGTGCTGATTTTCACCCAACATTCTGATTATATCAATGAAAAATCATTCATCGGAAAAATCGCCATGTATGCGGAATCTGACGACCGGCTGGGAACTGTAGCTTCTCCACTTCGATTCCGATAAGGATTCTCCACAATTACAAATGCCTCCAAATCAATCGAAGCATGAAGGTCAGAGTGACCTCGGGGGCGTTGCGACCATATTTCTCGCCAGGAACGCGAAGAAAGAGGGACGGTAGGGGAGCTGGCTGTTCAAACGGAGGCTCGACGATTCTCTTCGGTTACAAATGCGCCCGCTAGGGACAGCATCCTCTGAGAAGTTGCATCAATGACGATGCTTTTGAACTGGAATAAGTGCAGTGACACACATATCTCCATCCGAGAGAAGCGGCTGTCTGCAAGAAAGGAACCTCCAGCGATACTCGCTGTTTTCACCTAGTGAACTGTCACATTGGTCCCAGAAACAGCTATCTCCCACCCCTAGGCCCATGTCGAGGCGTCATTTCCCGGGTTTTGTCAACGTCATCCTATCCTCCGTCAGCGAGGTCAGCGGTCCACTTAGAGGAGGGACGGGTTGTTGCTCCTCGTGGAGCGGAGACATTCTCCGATCCAACCGATGCCTTCGGGTCGCCGCCGCCATTTCTGCCAGGGACGACCGGGAGGGTAAGAATCGGGGTGATTCGTCGGCGAGGGGCTCGATGGGCGGCTATGAGGCGGGTACCCAGGTAGGATAACGAATAGAGCGCCAACCCGCCTGCAGCAGCCGCCGACTGCGGGCAGGCGGGTCGGCGGGAGACCGGGCGATACCACCTCGGCCGTTCCGAGGGAAGAACGAACAGCCTCGCCGCTGCTCCGCGAAAGATACAAAAACAATAGCTCAAACTATAACAATAATGTGGAGACGGCGGAGACGCGACTCCAGCGGGCGCATGAAAGTTACGTCAACGAATGCGGGAACTTTCGGTCCTTCTTCCTCTTTTGATTAACGAGTTTTGATTTCTGGCGCGCAATATCATCGAGCTCCGGAGAAGACGAAATGAGAGGAGATCCGATTCCCCTCCTGCACAACGATGTTCGATATAGCGGACACATTGGTTAATTTGCCACACGAGCGTAGACGTCCCATGAATGAACGATGGCCCTCAAATATTGCCGGAGAATTCGAAACTTGCGCGCTCCGATGACATCTGCCGCCTCCCTACTATAGAGGAATAATGGCATTAGGACATCCGACCGCTCGGATGTCAGCTGGGGCGAGTGAGAGCTCTTTGTGAGCCCTGGGCTTCGGACGAGGGTCGATGCTGCTCAGGCGAGCTCTTATCGCGGTGGTGATGCCCATCAGATTCCAGTGGTTGTCGAATAAGCAATATTAAAATGGCGACGCAAATAGAAGTTCGTGGGATTACTGACCGCGTGATTCGCATTCGGGAGCGATCCTGAGATTTTGGTTCCGTGGATGAATCGTGCTCGGAGCGTGATTTGGCCTCGTGCTGCGTCATCTGATTCCTAATCGGAACATTTCAGAACTGATGCAGCCGTTTGCTCGCTATCGATTGGCTCGAGCCCGACGAGAGATTAATTCCGGGAGATATGCGAGGTTTGGTCCTCGAGACACATGACAGAATGCATTTATGAATTTTCGAGATGACTCAGGCATTTCAGCCTTGCGGATTCCAGGATGAGAAACAAAACTCCACTAATCACCGCTCGTAGCCTTTTCTATCGGTGTCGCATCGAGGGAGGACTCGAATAAATCTCTAGATCGAATTGTCCCCATCTGCATCGACTCGGGCTTCTTCGTCGGCATCAATATTTCGTATGAGATTCCGTCCTATCGGATGTCCGAACTTGGACGGACTTTCGATACGAGTTCGGAGAGGCGAGCTCGGCTCGATTGATACGCTGCCGAATCCCGACCGATGCCCCGATCCTCGATCCTCAAGCATCCCATTATTCGACAGAGGATTCTCCCATCCGCTCGATAATTCTCCTGGAAATAGGCGGAACATTCAATCCCACCCGGCTCCGTTCGAAGAAAGACGCTTGATCGGTCATTTGATTTTCATACTCTTTATTCATGTTCAAATAATATAATTTTCAATCAATCAGTATCTTCACTGTATATTCTGTGTCCCCCAATCTATTTACACCAATCGTATTTCTTGCTTCAATCTGACTTTCCATTCCGTCTCTAGCGACTCCATTCTTTCATTACCCTAGCTAATCATTACGCATCCCAACGTTCATTATCGTGTCAATCAATAAGAATATCAATAGTCATCATCAATGTCGCGGTATCGTTCTTTAATATCTGTGAATAAAAAAGTTGTTAACAACTGCCTCCACGTCAATGAAATTCAAAGAGTCCCTCAGGGTTCACTCCTCGCTCGTCTTTTGTATGTTCATCTGTACTGTGTAATTGTAATTGAAGTAAGTGTGGGTTGCGTATTCCGAACGGATTAACCGTTAAATTCACCGCTTCCGTCCAGTGAGCTGCTAGAAACTCAAAAATCACAGCGTTTCTCAATCAGTTTTCCCCCTCCACTCCATCTTCAGTTAGGTCGCCACCAGCTAAGGCAGTGGCCGAATGGTTCTCGATCTGTTTCATGATGACGCTCTTTAGGGTGGGGGAACGGGGATACGAATGTTTACCTGCTAACCCTTCCCGTTTCTCCAGTACTTCTTCTTCTCGATTCGTCCCACCTCTTCGTTTGTTTGGTAGGTTCGTTTGTTTGTTGATTGATTTGTACACGAAGGAGTGAGCAAAAAAAACGCGGCGGCACGCTAATCACAATGGAGCACGCTCATCATTCAAGAGTCGGATCGTCTTAACGATTCGATCGCTTCGACCTTCCGTCAATAGCTTCAGTAGGGGAGCTCGAGGGAGATCGCATCATACGCTATCATGACCGTCTCTAGATTCTTTCGCCCGATTCTCCTCGATTTCAGACTCCGAATTCATAAAGCCTTTCGGGTTGACTAATCGAAAAAAACGACGAAGGTCTCGATAGAAGTTTCAGGGTCTGGGGAAAGGACTCAAGGAAAGCAGCTGGAACCCGTGCAGCCCTCGCTTTCATGAACCCGATTGACGTCTTCAAGCCGCAGCGGGAGAGAAGCCCCGAGTGCGGAGTCGGATCTGAGCGGGAGAGTTGATCCCCCAATCGGATTAGGATTTCGTAACTCTCATAGCGAGCCCCATGAGACAGCAGCTGAGAGGAGAATGACAGAGACACCCCGGGGGAAATCCTACATGGGAGCTATGTGGAAAGTATTGGGAGGATGCCATTTCTCGATAATCATTTACGCAGGTGTCTGACGGTCGATGGGCCTCGACTCTCGACTTGGATGAAGCTCAGATCGACGGAAGTCAAAGCGATCCAATTGTGATGACGATAAAACAACAATTTATATACAGTGTCACAGAATCGATCTAATAATCAAAGTCGGTATCAAAGTTCTCGTCAATGTCGTAATTCTTGATGTTTTTGTGACTATTTCTCTCAATCGAAGGCTTTTCGGATGTTCTATAGTCCTAGCTTCGAGCGATCGTGGGTCTCATCGTTGTTTCCGGATCCTACGAATCAATTCCTTGTATAGTCCATGCTCCGAGTTAACTCTCCTCGTTCCTCATCGACAAAAATCTATTCTAAAATTATCGAATCTTTTCCTTTGAAAGTAATTTCCTTAGGTCCACGTAGTAGAACATCTCGGGAATATATATATATATAAATATATATATATATATATATTCATATCAACAAGTTCAAAATCCATCCACCCAAGCATCCGATTTTTTACTACAGTTCCCCTTGGAGTCGCGCCATAATTCAGACTCGTAAGTGGCCAGTCCGGTCGTCAAGTATCGCAGCGAATTCGAAACTTCCACTTCCACGCGGGCTCTTAACAGGATGTCTTGTGATGTCCGTGACTCCACAATCGTCACGTGATATTCCATCACAGGAATAATTATTTGAATCATCTTTGAATTCTCGTCATCATACGACGTCATTTCCCTAATTTACATTGTCTCCGTAAGCATCAATCTTCATCAGAGAGTGGTTCATACTGGTTCATCAGCAGATTCGAGTTCGACGTCGTGGTAGTGCTGCTGCTCGTGATCGGCGCATTCGTATCCCGACCACGAGAGCCTGTCGTCGTGACGACATTGGACGACGGGGGCTGCGAAGATGAGCTGTGCGTAGAACTGCTGCTACTCGAAACGGGGGGCTGCGTCGCAGAGCCTTGTGGTACCCCGAGTCGGACACCAAACGAGCTGAACGCGTACGGGTACGATCCCTCGTCGACAACAATGTTCGCGGGGTTTGATCTCGGCCGCGCTTCGTTCGACGCGGTGCCCTGTTGCTGCGAAGACGACGACGGCGGCTGTTGCTGCGACATCGGGGGGGTGGCCCGAACGTCGGCACCGTCTCTGGCGGCCGATGACTGGTTCGAACTGGGCCGGCTCGGCGGCGTGGAAGTGGGTCTTGGGCTCCGGTCTTGCGGTTCCCTCATCGCTTCCTCGATACGATTCTTCATGTAGTCCAGAGCGGACATGTTTGTCGCTCGACCCACGCGTGACGGCGGTCTCTCGCCCGCTGCTTCCCCGGTCGAGACCGCGGCCTGCGGGGTGAGCGCCTTGCGCAGTTTCCACGACTCTGCAGATGTTTCCCCGGGCACGGAGTCGGTTATGTTCTTGTGCATCATTGTTGCCAAATGAAGAGAGAAGGAAACCTTCGGATCCTTGCTCGGATCCGTCGGGCCGACGGCCGGGGTCTCCATTCTGGGAATTTTTTCCGACGGTCCCACGATCGCCGACAGGCTCGAGCCCCCGCCTCCGACTGAACCGAACGGTGAGACCAAGGATTTCGGGTCGGACTGATTGATCTGATGGGTGATGATAGCGTCAATGAAATTCGCTGCCGTGAGGCCCGAGCTCTTGGGAGGGTCCTTGGCAAAAGAAGCGCTGAAGATCCTCGAGGCTTCGTTCTCCATTTCGGCTTTATGCGCCTGGCTCCGCATCTCCTTCTCGAATTGTTCCTTGCTGAAAGGCTCCGCTCTTCCAGATGACCTGCTCGCTTGAAGTAATCTCATCTGCGGCGAGACCGCCGGGTGATGAGGATGTTGTTGCTGCTGCTGCTGCTGTTGTTGTTGTTGTTGCTGCTGCTGCAAATGCTGCTGAAGGTGTTGCTGTTGTTGCTGAAGTTGCTGAAAATGTTGCTGTTGTTGCTGCTGCTGCTGTTGTTGTTGGTGTTGTAGTGAAGAAGAGCTCAGAGGAGACGAATGATTGTTGCTGCTTGCGTTCATCGCGTTGGCGGCTGCTACGTGCAAGGAGTGTGCGGCCGTTCTTCCGATGTGACCGTGCATTTCCAACAACGACTTCTCCAATCCCTCAACAGAACGTTTCGAAGAGGCTTTCTCCTGTTCTTTCGGTGGAATTATCAAAGACGGTTGGGCTACAGCTGCGTTCACTAGCGCTTGGAAAGGAACGTGAGTTGAAGGAGATCGCGACTTGGCAGGTGGAGCCTGGATTACACTCTTAGCTGACGAAGGCCACCGAATCACATTCTGGCGGTCCATCGGTGGGGGCATGAACGAGTGACCGGCGGCCGCAGCAGCAGCTGCCGCAGCAGCTGCCGCCACCGCCTGCTGCTGTTGTTGCTGCTGCTGATATGACACGACGGGAGGGGTTTCTCGTTCCTTCTCCTTCCGTTGCTGCATTTGCTTCGAAGTGTTGAAATCGATGAGCAATTGCGACGAGGCTCGCCCACCCGAGTTGGCAGCTACGGCAGCTGCCGCTGCAGCTGCAGATGCTTGTTGCTGCTGTTGTTGCTGCTGCTGCTGCTGGTGTTGAGCGATGACGGCAGCTGCGCTAGCGCTCCCCGGGGGAAGACCTGGATAACCAGACGCGTAAGCAGCTGCTGCAGCTGCACGATAGTACTGTTCAGAATTCACGCCCAGCGGTTGCTGCTCGTAGATTTTCTTGTAATCGATATTCGGTGTGCCGAGAGTTATCGAACCGTCCTTCCTTTCGAAAGGTTGTCCGTGTCTCCCAGCTGCACCTGCGTACGCGGCTTGTTGTTGTTGCTGCTGCTGCTGCTGTTGTTGTTGTTGCGGCTGTTGGTGGTGATGATGATGATGATGGTGATGCTGCTGTTGCTGTTGGTGCTGGGCAGCCGCTATTGTACTCGTTCCGTGAGTGATCGATCCACCTGCCTGCTGCGGCAACGTTGGCAGTACGAATTGTTTGGGTATTAGTGGGGGAGGACCTTGTTGCTTTGGCGGGTGAAGCGACGGAGTTGCAGTTTTCCGCGATACGACAGCAGATGGCGGAGGTGTGGGTGCAGCTCTATAGCTGTTCGAATGAGCTGGCGGCGGAGTCGAATAGCGATGCTGATCGACCCCGCTGCGGGTCGGTGTTGAGACCTTGCGGTATTCTGTCGAAGAAATCTGCGGGCTGTTCGTGGACCGTGCGGGTTTTTTCGACAGGTCCAGTGTTTGCACCTCGTAATCCGCTGCTATCGTCTGGGGGGTGTGAGCCGGTTTGGGTCTGATGCCGAGAGCTGCTATCGAAGGAATCGACGACGACGATCCCGCCGTCGACGACGAATTAGAAGTCGATGACGACGACTGGAAACTGGCCTCGATCGTTTGGAAAATGAGATCGCGCACTGACTGCTGACCGACGCTCCCATCGCCGACACTGGACGACGTCGATGAACCACGAACGCCTCCGGTCAGCTGGGGTGGCGGCGGCTGAATCAGAGGCGGAGGAATGGCAAGCGGATGCATCAGCGGCCTCGATGGAGGTCTCGCGTTTGCAATGCTCCCACTGTCCAGCGTCCTCTGCTCGTCGCTCAGTAATCCAGGCGGGCCGGCCGGTGGTCTCGACAACTGGCAGCCAGTTTGTGCAACAGATGGTGCAGATGATTGGGGAACGCTCTTACTAGCCACAATAATCGACTTGTTCGACTCCCCTTCATCCGCACTAACAGTTGCACTACTGTCATAGCCGTCCAGCGCTGCGGATGATCCGCAGTTGGACTCCGAGGCACTTCTATGATGACTCGATTGGTGCGAGTGATGGGATCGTTTTCGTTCTCGCGCTCCTTCCGTCTGAGCTCCCTCCGAGGCTTCCCAATTACCTGGAAAACGAAGGAAAACATGAGTTTCACCCCTGGGCATCCCGAAGAGCCTGACTTCTTTTTTTCAGGCTATTTCACTTGTTTCAAGAGGGACGAAAGAAAAATACCATCTGCATCCTGGATGTCTTTCGGACTGCAAGCGCTGGCCGTGTCGCTAGTCGTGGATGTGCTGTGCCTCCTCTCGGGCGGTTCTTCTTTGATGACTTGAGAAGTTTTGCTCCCTCCTAACGCAACGATGGCGGGAGTATTCGCTATAACTGTGGTGGGAGTAGCTGCAGCGGGCAAGATACCCTTCGTGGTCAGGGTCGATGCAGCTGCCGACGGCGTTGAAGTCGCCGACGACGGCTCCTCTTCAGCTTCAGATAGGGGCTCGTCAAGACCTTCCGCCTTCCGGTATTCGTTAACCTGTGAGGAATTCATCGCACATTAATATCCTGTCATTGGGAGGTGGAGAAAGAAATGCGAGTCGCTGGAGAAGCGACTCGAAGGAATAATCGAATGCGAATGGATCATCGAATATTGCCCACTCACCATATAATGCAAGTTGTGCTTGCGCTTGTTGAGCGCGTAGAAATCTTTACAAATCTGACGAGTCTTCGTTACAACAACCGAGGAGACCGCAGCCCAATCGGTTCCGTAGTCCCGGAGCGCTTTGCGCATCGACTCAACTTCGGGAGCTGTCCAGTTGTCGACAGCTGCCGAGGCGGCGGCGTTCAAACTATTGAGCGCCAAACGATTCTTCTGGAGTTCATTGAAACACGTCGAACAACACTTATGTATACCGTGGAGAATTTTGAGATCAACACCTGCGTCACGCTGCTGCTGCTGCAGCTGGAATTGTTCTAACAAGGCAGCCGGCAACGGAAGAAGACGTCGTACCCTCTGTTCACAGCCCGGCATCTGGCACTGCACCGTAACCTCATCGGTTTTGAAACGACAATCGGCGCACACCCGGAGTTCCGTTCCCGCCAACTGATCTTCGGTAAGACCGTACAAATCGCAGTTGGCTCGCGTCAAGAGACGACTCTCGCCCTCGTCACTCGTTCCTTCAGCAGGCAGAGTCATTTTGCAGAGAACGCACTCCGTGGCCGATATCAGGCCGTTGCTCGCGGATGGCGATGATGGGGCAGCCGATCCAGCGGTCGAAGAAGTGGTCGATAGCGCGGACGTGGTCGTTTGGCCCGAGCTCGAAGACAACCCCATCCCCGAGGCCGAAGAGGGCAGTAACGATGAAGACGACGGTTGGATTTGACGCCTCTGGGGCAGACGGCAGTCGGTTGGCAAGCTGGTCGTTATGACGCCGGCCAGGACGTTCGCCGATGATGTCTGAGGCTGACTCCCGCGATTATTGGTCACGTTGTTTCGAGTGCGTTTCCGGGCATTGTGTTTCCGGATGAGTCGTTTGTAGTTTTCGCTCTTCTTCGACATGTAATAATAGCTAACGCACTCGGCAGTGGTTTTCCTCTCGAGAAACGAGGCGATCATGCCGAAGTTCTTCGGAAACTGCACGTACTTCTCGCGGAAGATCTGCTTCTCATGATCAGACCATATCGTCATCGATTGGAACTCTTTGTATTCCGTGGCGAAGTCGTCGACCCGACAATTCTCCGAAACGAATCTAAATCTCCTCTCCCAATTATCGAGCAGTCTCGGCGGGACAACGGCGTACGAACGCATCCTCTTGTCCTCGTCCTCCTGCTGCTGAATGCCGTCCATGATCTCCTCCATGTCGGCGTCGCTCCGAACCCGTTGTCCCGCGCGGGAGAATCGTTCCTTCTCCTCCCGCTGCTTCTTCAGCTCTGTGAACTGTTTCTCGAAAAAGTCGCGAAGCTTTTGGTCCTTTTGGCGTCGCGCCGAAGCGGCGCTCTTGTTGCCAATGTGTCGCTCCTGCTGCTTAATCCACAGTCCCATTTGGTGCGTGTAGTTTCTACTCAGGTACTCATCTCGTTTGGACGTCTCCTGACGGCGTCGTTTGAGGAACTCGATCAGGCGGCTCTTGAACGAAGCGTACTTCTTTCTGTTTTGGTGAAAGATGACCGCATCCGACGGTTGATTGTATAAAGGTAGAGTAATCTTAAGGCCGTAGCCGTTGAGCAAAGCGTGTGCGGCTTGCGCCTTCTTGCGGTTGTCCGCGTAGATCACTTGCGCAGGCGACATTTGTCTTTCGGTAGTCGATGCGCTCTCGTCGCCCTCGGCGCCCTTGCGATTTTCGTGCGCCTCGAGGTCGGCCAATTTCTTTTTCAGCTTGGCGATACTCGTTTCCAGCTGACTCACATCCGAACCGAGCTTGCTGATCTGAGCGTTGAGCTCGTCTTTCGAGCTCCGTTCCTCGGGCAGCGTGGGAGAAATGGCCTCGACTTGCGGAATGTATGCAGGTTCTTTTTTGACCACGGTCGCAGACGTATCGATCGCCAGAGGCTGCGACAAGCGCGGCCGCTTGTGGGGATCGGCGACAGCGGCGGCCGCGAGCGCAGCTGCGGCGTTCGCAGCCTGCTGCTGTGCCCGCTGGTCGACCACCATTCCTGGATACAGAGAAGCTCGACCATAAGCTGCGGCGGCGGCTGCTGCCGCGGCCTCTATTCCGCTGTGGCCGTTGTGCTCGGACCAATCTTGTAGTCCAGCCGGAGGCAGCAGCGAAGGTCGCCGCCTCACAGGTGGTTCGTCACGAGCTTGCGCTGCCGCAGCAGCCGCTTGCTGCGCGACGGCCATCTGCTGGTAACGCACGATGTGCATCTGTAACTCTTGCTGCTGTTGGAAAGCGGCGGCCGCGGCAGCCGCCTCGGAATCTCGGTAGAGTGGATACATCGGATATGGGGATGGTCGACTCGGATCCTGAGAACCAATGCCTCCGGGGGCAAAGGGATACACCCGACTACTCGGGAGCGGAGGACTCATTCCGGGCCGATGGCCGTGCTTGAACGGAGACGCTGCCGAGTCATGTCCAGGTCTGGAATCAGGAAGAATGCGAATTAGCGTGCTAGTCGGAAGAGTGAGATCTATATGGTGAGAGAATTCCCAGAGGTATCACGAGATAAGATTCCGCGATCGGAATAAGATTCCCTGGTGGATGAGGCAAGTGGAGTGTATACACGAGACAACTCTCCGTCCTGCTTGGAGAGGGAGCAACTTCGACTCGATGCCCGAGAAACATCGGACGGCGGCAAATCGATGTCCCCCTCCTGAGCCTGAATCTATGCGATCCGGATAACCGTGGAAAGCGAAAAACCGATAAACGTCAAGCTGCAGATATTTTCCGTCGAGCTCAATCGGATTATATCAAAAAGGCGGAACGACTGCGAATCCCAGAGCGAACAAATGGCGTCGGCACGCTCTCTCGGCGATTCAAAGGCTGATTCGATCCATTCTCATTTCATTCATTCATCGAGTCATTATTTATCGGTAATACGATTCTTCCGCGGGGAGGCAATCGAATCAGTGCAACCATGACGACGCTGGACGGACTTCCGTTTCCCTCTCGGATCTGGGCAACGCCTTCCCTCCGGATCGGATCGAAAGGCTTCTCTGAGCATATTAGAGAGCAAGCCCAGCTTTTTCGATCCTTAGTACGAATCCGGGACAAAGAGAATGAGCATATCAGCTACCGATCAATACCCTCTCCCTGATTTTCCCGATCCACTAATCTCTAGGCCCTGGGACACCCTCAGGACGAACTCCTCCTTTTCGAGGGGGGAAGGGGGGAAATATCTTTCCAGCGGATTATGTTCTCTCAGGAGCGACACCAACAGAACTGAATTCACACTTCGAGCTCTTTTCGCGCGTCATACCGCCGCATCCCGCGGAATTCCTAAAGATTTCCAGGCACACAAACGTCAATTCCTCCCAAGCGGCTTCGACTGGCTCGTTAATGCAACGGGTTGCTGTCTGCTAATCGCTTCATTGTTGACGTCGTTGCCGTCGACGACGACGACGACCACGTCGTCACCGTGCGGCTACGACGACGTCTAAGAGCGCTATACAATGCTTTCATATCAGTCCCGTCGCGAAGCCGCAGCTAGTAGTGTCTCGCGTGCTTGAGTCTGTATGAGCTCACTGCGATTGGGCCCTTGCAGCCGCTACCGCCTACGGCGATACCACAGCGACGAGTCGGGGACGAACGCCAGCGTGAGATTTATACCCGATTCCGTTTTGCGGATAGCGAAGAAGCGGGAGGAAGAGAGCAAGTAAACGACAGCAAGAGCACCAGAAAAATGAGAAAAGAATGACAGATAGATGAGGAGCGACTCGGACTGAGCAGACCACGAGATCCGCGGTCGTCGTCGTCGGCCGGACAGAGGTTCCGGGGGTGCATGATGACGAAGGCGGCATTGGAGAAGAAAAAAATCGGACGGCGAGAAGGGTTACCCCAAAAAGGAGGGGATTCCCGACATCGGATGCGTTATCTGTTTGTTACGAGTTACGAGAGATGATTCGGCCCATCCATCGATATATCCGTTTATCATCCCGCCACTCTCACTCAGTCAGTCAGTCAGTTCGGATAAGAGCCAAACTGTTCGAGTGCCCGTCGCAAGCAGACAGTCCGCTTTGAAACGTCTGGGACTGAGCTGTCCGAGCCAACGAAATAAGTCGAGCTTTCCGCTTCGAGCAAAATCAACCGATTAGCGACGCTGGCTAGCGACAGGAAACGTGAACACATGTTCCCGAATACTCCGGTTGTGTATTGGGGATAGAAAAAAGAACTCGTCCGATACTCAAAGGAGTTAGGTACAAAAAAAGTATAGTCGGTCGATCGACGGTCTAGCGAGCAATGTTTCGAGTACTTTCGTATTATCCGCTCCGCTTCGTGTCGACGTTATCTTTAATGGAGAGTACGCCGACTCACGGGTGAAATACCGGGAATCGATACCTCTTCGTCACAACCCATTTGCCTTCAAATTATCATGTATCTCATACGATCCCTCCGAGCAGCAAAATATTCTGCAGCCGAACGTCAACAGATTGGTAGATTCAAGACCCACACTAGACGTCAGTCATCTCCGGACTAGACGCCGATGGCTTCAGAGTTCTGCAGGAGAATCTGGGACTCGCAATACACTACCCGTGGCGACTCGATTCCCGATAACAGGCTTCTTCGATAGATCTCAAGCAAACTGTCACGTCCCCATGCGACGGGCGAACAGGTCGCGTAGTTGGTGTTGTCGTGCTCGGGCTCCGTCGCAGAGAAGCCATTTTGGAAAGCATCGTATTACGACAACAGGGAAGATGATGTGACAAGCAAACACGGCGACCGAGCAAATATGGAGGAGCTGGGCTCGATACGACAGCATTGTGATTGGTCGGATGTCGGATGAATCGACTGGAAATACGCCGGTCCGGCCGGCTGTCTGACCGAATGATTCGAGGACAACGCCATGTTCCCCAGCAATATTATTTCAGGATACCGCGTGACGATTCGTTCCGTCCCAAACATTGTTTTGAACCACCCTCACGTCTCCCTGATTACTGGCAGTTGTTGCAAATCGATGTCCAGCGGTATTTGCTTGCGGAGTTCTTGAATTGCACGGGGGTCATCGAGAGCTCTTTATCTTGTACTCGAATTCATCCCTATGAGGATCACGCGACATTCATGCGATGGAGAATCCCGGCGGCGCGGTGGAACGCGCACGCAGACGTCGGAGACACATGTAGATCGGGAATGACAGAGGAAACAGAGGAATCGGCTCAAACTGAGACCTTCCCCGCATGTCTGCATGTCCCTTGAGCAGTAAAGTATGAACTGAGAGCCGAGGTAGCTGCTTTGGAAACTCCGGCATTTCGAAAGATCAGGGACCCGCGAGATCTCCGCTGATGGGACAGTTCTCTCATGCAGCCAGCGATTGAAAGCGCGCGCAGGACGAGTCGGGAGTCGGGAGTGTCGGGAGTCAGGAACTTTCATTCGTTCCTTTCAGGCTTCCCGCGCATCGCCCTCAAAGTGAAGCCTGGGAAGATGTTTACGCGGATCATTCTCCTTTGCGACCACCCATGCATCGTGAAGCCGGACTAGAAGCTTAATCGAGAATCGAGACCACACGGCTGCTCTCAAGCCAAGCGCTTTTCCAACGTAGCTTGCTGCTGCGGATTACAGAAGCTATTTCTCGATCATCGGAACTCGGAACGTCGCTAATTGCCCTCCTGAGCTTTCTAGGGAAAACACCGACCTCACCGGAGAACGGAACGTATTATGAATCATGAGTCCAATTGTAAGGCAGGGCGAGCGGTCATGCCCGCTCAAAAAAAGCAAACGACTCATAGATTGTTGCAGGTTCCTTGAACTGCCATCAGGCCGAGTGTAGGACCTCCGAGAATAGATTGTATCCTCTTCCAATCTGATTCAGTGACTGACTTTGGTTGGTTGGTTGCTCGCCCGCTTGCAACGCCAACTGGCTAAACAGGTTTAGCCGCCTGGCCGTCGCGGGCTACCCTACTGAGTGAGAATATCGGACCGTTCGAGCTCGTTCAAGAACGAGGCAGTGAGCTAGTCAGAGAGGAACTCCTGGCTCAGAATAAAGATAGCATGACGAACGTCTCGTTACTCACACACCATAGGGCACGAATAACAAGGCAACTCTTGCCAAGGCAAGACGGCCAACTCGTGCCGGTGGAGTCAACGAGAAGCAACCGTCCGATCCAGAGCGAGGCAAGCTCAGGCAAGGGCGATACCACTTTCAGGCTTCAGGGGGACGAGCTGGTTGTCTGCTAAAAGCCACAACAACGAGTGCCAAAAGCGATTCTGCTGATCATGATCACAACAATGTCAAGCCATACATCGACGTCAGGGACAATACGCTGGCTGCGGGCTCATATCCGCGGGTTCTTAGTACGCGGAGCTCAAATTCAAGCCTCACGGTGTAAAGCTGGATCGTGGGGCATCAGCCCGAAGTCCGAAAATATGACGTGCGGAGCATGGGAATCATGAATCATGGAGCATGGTGTGCTCCTGAAATGGCCCGAGATTCAGAGGTTGCTTCCGGAATCCTGCGCTGCTCACGAGTCCCTGCAGAGAAACCATCTGTCTCCAAGCCGTATGAGAGCTCAGAACATTTCGAACATGGGGAACATCTGCAATGTTTCTGCGTCCACGCTGCTGCGCTGTCGATGTCCGATGTTTGGACGAGAATTCCGGGGAGCCGGCCAGCAGCGTCGACAACAGCAACGGAGTAAAAGAAAACAAACACTTGGCACTCGGCTGCTTGACAGAGAACAGCGACTGGGCAGCAAGGGAAGGCTGTGATCCTCGGAGAAGATTCTCACATGTTAGCTCACATCACCCGCAGGAGCTCGGACACAGCGAATTCCGTCGGGAATTCCGTCGCGCAGAATCTCTCCGTCTACGGATTAGCCGGAGCCGGAAACATGAAGAAGGCGCCCGATTCCGATTTCCGATCTAGCAGCTCGAGGCGCGGGGCTCGTCGAAGAAGCATTAGCAGAGAATCTAGGTAGTACTTTTCAAAATCGCTCGGCCTCGAACGCAAAGTTTCCTCAAGTGAAGCATAGGAGAATCCCCGACCTTCTAGTAGTCCCACGCTGTGAGGGAACTCTCGAAAATCGGAGAAGAAGCGAACGTTCTGCTCGACCCGTCTCTCACTCGGTGGTCTGGAACCTCGGCTACGATAAGGGCATTCCATTCTACTCCCGATTACGGCCCGAGAGAGAAAATGGAGCAAACGGGAAGAGGTGTCGTATCGCCATTGACGATTCGACGCTCATGAAACCGGATCGTAATCATAATAATACCACGAAGCAGCAGTGGAACCCTGTATCGAATGAGCCGTAGGTGACCACTCATATCCGGGACGGACGATCACGTAGAATCGCATCGAGCGAGACTGATGAAGCTCACTCATCTCGAGTCTTGCGTGCTCATTCGATTCACCGAGACGAAGAACTCAGAAGGATCTGAGAATAAGTTGCAGCTGCTGCTTTGGATGAACGATGAACTTATCCGCGAAA